TACCATGCACGCACACATGGGCAACCCTTAGGTGCACGACACTTACCTGAGTGGCCCGGACTCTGAGATGAAGCATAACTCACTCCCCTTCCTCATATGGTCCTCCTAACCCTATTCGCTACCTCTACACTAATGTCCTACCATGTAGAAGGGTCTGACGCCAACACCAAAGTGCAACGCCGAATCCCCTCCCGATGCTGAAGAACAAAGTAGCAACTTGCAGTCCGTAGATGCAGAATGGCTACCTCCCTCAAGATCGCCTACTTGAGGGAGGTCCTTAAGTCACCAAGTGTCTTCCTTAGATCAGAATCCAGGTACGAGTGCCTCTCACTGTCGCCTCTCTCACATTGTCGCATGAAGTCCTCTTGATGTGTCTCGCCACCACAAGCTCACTCTCAATCAACCTGGTCAGGTTCAGTGTCGACCCAACACGACCTAACCAGGTGGGGGCAGCTTCCCTAATCCACGCTGCCTCACTTCCCACTTCAGACCAACCCTAACCCTAAGTGGTCAGCCCTAACCACTTAGGTTAGGGTTAGGGTGGATAAGTCAACTCTCACCAGCAAGTAGAATCCGCTCTGATACCAATGTTATGATCCTGGGCAATTTCGAAGTACACATTCATCAGAAAGTACAATGCCGTCCAATTGCAAAAGGAAATGAATGAACTTGAGAGGAGAAAGAGGGAAAGAGGAAGAAGAAGAAGAAATAAAGAAGAAGAAGATGATGTACACTACCATAGACCAATGATAATGCTCTTCTTCTTCGCCAACCACTCTCCTCCTTATCTCTTCCCCTCTTATTCAAACAAGAAATAATAATAACAATGTTGAATGGCTGAACCAAAATCAACGTTTGAATCCCACTTCTACTGCAGGTATCACATGAGGTCCACCATAGCCATGACACTCTTCTCCTTCCTCTTCTCGAAGGCCTAGACTATGGCGGACTGCTAGGGCCTTGCCCTGATGTGAAGAAGACAACTCAAGCAACTATGGCTGTTCTAGCTCAGGCCGCCATGCCTGACTCTGCCTCGAAGCTTCGTGGTGTATGTTACATGCCCATTTGGGCGATGCACATAATAACCGAGGATCCGCAATGTGATGAAAAGGATTGAATGGACAATGCAGTGCAAGTAGAATCTCAACAAGCAATGTGCATTCTAATACATACAAAATGGTGCTGAATAGCGCAAGGAAGACTTAGATACAAATCCTGACCTGACCGGGACTGACCTCATTCACATAGTATCAGATAGCGAAGCAGAATGCTTGAATGCTAATGACTAGCCCAATCAATGTTTGAACGCAGACCAAACATACATCGTATCCATCACAAGGTGTGAAGGAGCCTGGCGCTGTACATAGGAGGAAAGCGCCAGGTCCAGACATACACAGACGAAGAGGAGGGGATCAGACGAAGAGAGGGGGAGAGATGGGAATGTCGTCAACACCAAGTCTTTGTCACAAGTCCCAAATAATCCCTCGTCGTAATGTCTGAAGCCCAAAAGTCGAGTCTGGATCCAAGGTCACCAAGCTCTCTCTCTCACTCTTCTCGCATAGTCTGCAGATGCAGTGAAGTCAGATAAGGAGAGGGTGAGAGGGAGATGGTGGACTGAGAAGAGGAAGAAGAAGAACTCTCTCTCTATCACGAACCAGATACTAACCTGTGATGTTGGCGCTGTGCTGCAGGTACCTCGAAGACGAAGCTGGAGCAACGGCGCTGCAGGTAAGTACCTCTGGCCTCCACCCAATCTCTCTGTCTCTAGTGCTATCCTAGCTATGGCGCCCAGCGCTGGAGACTACAGCTACCTACTGCGCTCAGCGCTGAAGACTAAGGCTAACGCTACTACTACTCCTGCAGTGCTCCCTCCAGAGTGCTGCTGCAGAATCCTGAAGACTACTACTGCCTCCTGCCTGCCCGTGAAGTGCGTGGGAAGTCCCTATGTACTACCTCGGCCTGCCTCCTAAGGGCGAGCCAGGCCGAGGAGGCTGCTCTTGCCAATGCCGAAGTGTGCCAGGGGCTGGCGCTGCAGCAGCTGCTGAGGCTGGCATGGGAACAGGCTAAGAATAGCCTGTTCCCGAAACCCTGGTTCGGTGCCTGAGTTTCAGGGCCGGTCGTTCTGATGAATGACCGAAAATGGCCCTTCGTTTCAGGCTAAAAAGGCTATTGCCATTTTTAGTCTGAAACGACACAGGGACTGTAGGCCCCTGTTTTCAGGCTTTCGGGATGAACAGTCACGGGGCCTGTAGGCCCTGGTTTTCAGGCTTTAAGCCTGAATTTCAGGCTTTCAGCCTGAGGGACGCAGGGCCTGGAAAATGGCCCTCGTGTGCAGGCGCAGCATGTAACAGTGTAGCTCTACCCCCGCTGGGGCCTTCTTGCTGCAGCACCCACCAAGGTCATGAAGATGACAACCACCATAGCCAGGTAAGCACCTCGGCACTCCCCCTTCCTAGTCCTGGTCTTCTTCCTCCTCCTGTCAATGCTCCTTCCCCAACAGCGCTGCTCCAAGTTAGCGCTGCTCCAGCCAGCGCTCAAGTGTGTCACTAAACTTGCACACCGACAATGAGGAGGAGCACCTTGCTCCTCCTGGAGATATAGCGGCCTGCTTGCCTCTTGGCAAGTGACTTCCTAGGCCGCACGGCCTCCAAGCAACCGGTACCTCCTCCCTTTCGGAGGAAAACATCATTGCAGACTCTGATATTGCCCGTACAGGCCCTAAACTCAGACTGGTTGGACTGCTACCCGCCTTGACCTAGCCTACTGGGCCTCTAAAAATGGCAACTTTTGCCTTCTTCTGCTTGGCCTCGAGTACCCGACACATCTACCTCTACTTGGTGTGGTACCGGCCTACCTGCTACTTGTGTGTTTTCCACTGCTCTAAGTGTCACGGGCCTCTTTCCCTGCCACTTGAGTGTTTTCCCCGCTGCAACCCAAAATGTTATGGCCACAAGTAAGTACCGGCCCTTCGGGCCTTCCGAACAACCAAGTGCCCTCGCGGGTTACACACACTCAAGCCGACAAGCACTCAGGCAGGCATGGAGACCAGCAAGCATGCACCCACACAGGCTTAGAAAACTCAGCAACAAGCGGGAAACTCAGTAAGGCATACATTCCATGAGCAAAACTCAGAAATCAGGTGTGTCTCAGTCCGTGTTTGTCAGGCCATTACACCATGGCAAGAAACGCACCATTTTGGGACACGCATGGGGCCAAAAAAAGAAAGCCCATCCCTGCCCCCGCACGGCCTGCCCCTGCCGCCCCTGCAGAAAAAGGAAAGGGATACCACATAGGGATGCTACAACTCCACGTGAGGGTCGTCTTTTTCCTTCGGCGTGTGGGTCCTTGACCCCCACACGTCCTATCCCCTGCTCGGCCCCGCACTGCATCTGCCCTTGCCCAGGTACCTGCACCCCCAAGGGAGTTCAGGATGTCCCCGAACTCTGAAACATTTGGAAAATCTGCTGGTAGGTGCCGCTGCTTCCATTTTTTTTCTTTTCCGTACGTTTATAACCCCAGGGTCCCCAGCCTTCAGGGTTGGTCCCATCCCTGATGCGGGCCCGGGTGTTCGGGCCTGGGGGTTGGCAACCCTGCTTTAAGTTGACCTCCCCTCCAGACACATCTTCTTCTTCTTCTTCTTCTTCTTCTTCTTCTTCTTTTTTATTTTTTATTTTAATAAACATCTCTTGACAGCTAACTATCCACACATCTAATTCTGGTTTCTGTCTCCATAGTGACTTTTGCCTGCCCCAGACTGGCATCTGTTACTGGGATGCATCTGCTTCCTTGCGTCCTTGCGCACTGGCAATACATCGATTCCAAAATCTGAAGTGTTAGGAATGTGTCCTCATGGGGCCCTAGCCAACATGCACATGTTCTGGACTGTGACCCCCAGCAAGCCTCGTCCCTGCCCTAAGTGAAGGCGGGCCTGAATATCCACAAGAAGCCCTTATCTCAGCATTTTCCAATGTGGGTATCAGACAGTTGCAGCACGCCAGTTGGTTGAAGTGCAACCTGGGCCTCTCACTGGCTCCTTCCAGAAGCAGCAGCTGCGTCAAGCAGTTGAGCCCAGGACGCAGGTGGTTGCGCCCTGGGCACACACAGTGTGAGGCCGACACATCACGAAGTGACAGCCGGCCAATTAAAATGCAGCATTGTTGTCACACCTACCCCGCGGGCCAATGCAAACACGGCAAACACTTGGAGCCTGGAGAACACCTGAAGGTGCCCAACCAAAGAGGGCCCAGGCCCTTAACTGTAGGAATGGGCCTGGGCGCAGACACTGAGGCCCGACCGAAAGCTACTGGAAACTTCCTCGGCCAGGACCAGTCGGCCCAGCAGGGCAGCTACTCCCAAATAGGGAGGAGGCCGGCCAGAGGCTGGCATTCTGGCCTAGGCAGGCAATGCGGGCACGCTGCTGTGCTGCTGTGCAGGTGCTTGCATTAGCGCATGCCGGCTGGGGCGCAAGCGGGCGCTATGAGGTGAAGGGCGCTGCAGGGCAGCGGGGCGCTTAGCGGCCATAGCCGGGCTGCAGGGGCGGTCTTCAGGAAAGGAGGCACATGAGTGGGTGGACAAGGTCTGATGAGGGGAGAAGAGATAACGTACCTGGTGTATGTGGGAGGTCGGCATTGGTGTCGACGTCATGTACATTGGTCTTCGACGGCGAAGTGATCCTGTTGCACGAATGTAGATAGGATAGATAGGCTGAGTAGAGTAGGCTGGGCGCTGGACGTCATACAGTAGGAGTGACATTGGATACTGCGTTGGTGTGCCCTGAGGGCTTGGACATCGGCTCACGAGTTCGTTGTATCGCTCTTATGTGGATGGAATCTTGGTGCATTTATGCTCTCTGCTTGGTACATGACTATCTGGACTTCTGCGTGATTTTGCAACTTGGTTTTCTGTCTATCACTCTCACTCATATTCCTTGCAAAAGGGGGGGGAAATTCAAAAAAAAGAAAAAGCAAGAATCCTATGACCAACCACACTCTTTTACTGACCTTCATGTATGGACAGGAAGCACAGCCTCCTGAAATGGAGCACCCCTCTCCACCTTGTACCCCTGGCACAACACCCAGCTCTCCAATGACCCCACTTGCAGGCCGTACTGCCACCTTCAGCTCTTCCAGCCCCTGGCCTCCAGGTGCTGACGATGACAGTGATGAAAGATTTCCGCCGCTAACTTCGGAAGATGCAGTTATGGCGTCTGAGGAAACGGGAAAGACAATCTCCACATCCACCATAGGTCCCCTTGCACCGCCAGCGTTCATGTTCTTTTTCAAGATCTCTCGCACTTTGCCGACAATTGACGTTATCATGCCCGATTCTGTCCCGAGGACGAATTGAAGGCGCTGATCATGCCCTTGAGCGATGGCCTCTCGAGTCTTATCTGTAATGAAAGACAGAATATTGGACGTCGATCCGACCACCCCCATCTGACGACGTTTGGCTTCCATGGCCATTGCAAACATCTCGCCTGGTACCTCAAAGTGTGCGGCCTGATACGCATCACTGTAGCCTGCCTTGACGCGCTTGACCACCTCACTCCCAAATATATCGTGTACAATGCAAGCCCCATCCTGACAGTTTTAAGCACGATGATGCATATCCAAATAGCCAGGAGCGCAGCACATGAGATAAGTAGATGGTGACGAGTGCACACACCAACTCATTTGACACAGACATTCCAGGCGGCACAGCCGGATATCGGCTGGCCATGAAAATCCGGGTTCATCTGGTCTTCGACGCCATCTGTCATTTCAACCCCCATCTTCCTCCTCCTCCACATCCCTCTCCTTCTCCCCTACACTTGTTGTCCTCTCTTCTTCTTCTTCTTCTTCTTCTTCTCTTGTTGTGAAGTGTGCGCACCATACAACAGGGGCAACCCCGACATGGTAAGGATGCCACGGGAGAGAGAGAGAGAGAGAGAGAGAGAGAGAGAGAGAGAGAGAGAGAGAGAGAGAGAGAGAGAGAGAGAGAGAGAGAGTACCTATGAAGCTGTTCATTGGGTCATTTGGAGTTTGGATGCAAGCGGCAGTTGGGTGCTCTCATCTTGTCTTCTCCTCAGTCATACCCTTTGGATTCTTTGCATGTCTTTATGACTGCGTCTCCAGATGCTTTTTGTTTTTTCTTAGCAATGTGGATGACGCACGTTGTCCACATGGTGATCTGGCAAATCAGAAAAGAAGTTCATTCTCTTTCCATTCTCAATGTTTACGAAAAGGGAAAAAAATCAAAAAATACTAAAAATCCAAACATTCAAAAAATTTCAAAACAAAGAAGATGATTGTGCTTCGGGACATCTGTTAAAATTGGAACGATACAGAGAAGATTAGCATGGCCTCTGGGCAAGGATGACACATGAATTGAGAACTGGTCCCAAAAAAAAAAAAAAAAACTTTTCGACAAGTAACACGTCTGAATCGTTGTCTGCCATCCAGGAGTTATACCAGGGGTTATCGGCAAATTACAACCCCTGGATGGACGGGAAACACAAAACTGCTTGAAATAACCCCATCTCCTGGCGTTTGGGTCGCCACAGGGGTGTGCAACGCCATCCTCTTGTCAGATCTTGAATCCGGGCATACCACATAGCATTTTCCAGATCATCCACAACGATCTGGTATCCAGGTCATCTGGCCGGATGTGTGGTGTCTCCTCGTAGTCATCAATCCTCCTTCGTTTATGAAAAGATCAATGCCGTGAGGGGTTTCTTCGGCCCCAATGGAAGGAAGTGTGGGTATAATCCAGTGTATGCTGTTGCAAGTTTGTACCATTTGGGACTCCGTGGTGGGAAAGGAGCCGGACGGAAACTTCCCAGAATAGAACAAAGCCGGGACCATAACGCCCTGTTTGTTTGTGTGTGCGCGCGCGCGCGCGCGTGTGTGTGTGTGTGCGCGCGCGCGTGCGTGTGCATGCGCACGTGTGTGTGTGTGCGTGCGTGCGTGCGTGCATGCATGTGTGTGTGTGTGTGTGTGTGTGTGTGTGTGTGTGTGTGTGTGNGTGTGTGTGTGTGTGTGTGTGTGTGTGTGTGTGTGTGTGTGTGTGTGTGTGTGTGTGTGTGTGTGTGTGTGTGTGTGTGCATGCTTTCTTTCTTTCCCCGTTAACAAGCAGAAGCAAAGATCCAGCTGGCCTTCCTTACAAAACTCAGTCACTTCCATTGCAAATAAATATATATTGCAAAACTTAATGGAAGTGCTGAAACAAACAAGATATATAGTTCAAAGAACGTCAATGATTCAATCTCAATTGCAAGGTTTCGTTTGATGTTCTTTATGCCGCGGTGCAATGTTATATATAGATCAAATTCAGATTTTTCAAAGTCTGAAATATGAATAAGAGTTATTGAAATCAACTACAGAGCAGCATAGACGCAGAAGAGAAAGGACGCATAGACAAACAGGGTACTACGGTCTTCCCCCAAACATGATGCCTCATCACCAAACCATGTTCTGGTCCAAATAGAGTCGCTACGACGATGGGGTGTCGTATCCGGGCGAAGAAGGCAGACTTTGAGGGCGTGATAGGACCGGACAAGAAAATGCGTGTCGCATAGACAAACATGGTACTAGACTATAAAGGACTACTTCTTAGGACCCAAAAAAACAAAAAAAAAGGACCAAAAGACCGCATAGCCAAAACAGACAGACTCCAATGATAACATGTATATTCTAGCTGAGTGGTACATGCATGTAATTATTAACAAACATGTCACGAACTCGAATCAGGCAGGAATCGGACCAATATGACGCATAGATAAACATGGTAATGGACTTTGAAGAACAACATCTAGGACCAAAAAAGACAACAGAGTGGAAACAGAGAGACTCCAAAGAAAATATGCATACTGTAGCTGAGTGGTACACACATGTGGCTATTTACAAACAGGTCACGAGTTCGAATCTGGCCAGGAATTGGATCGATATGCAAAGGTTAGGGGATACCCCTTTGCTTCTTTTTTTTTGTTTGTTTGTTTTTTCCTCCCCATAAAACAGGTCCTTATGGCCCTGGCTCCATTTCCATTCTGGGGAGCATCAGTCCAGTTCCTATTCCACCGGCAAGTCGGAATAAAATAATACATCAGGAAACACACCCATGCTTCCTTCCATCTGGCCGAAAGAACCCTGACCATCATTGATTACTCCAGCATCGTGGAGGACTGACTGTCAGCTTGCCTTACTTCCACCTTAAAGTTTCCTCTCAGGTCCACTGCACGAACCTGTCAGATAAATGATAAAGAGCAAGAAAGGTAAAAGAAGCTATGGAAGATGCAATCTCAGAATTGCTCTTCAATATTACGCGGCCTGTGATGGATCTTGTCCATCTGCTGGCTGGGATCTCTGCCTTATGCACCCTTCTTCTGTCTTTCCACTGTATTTATCTCTGCTACTTTGCGAGCCAGACCATAGTGAATTTTGCCTTGATGCTTCTCTATTGCTCTTCGTCATCTGGCATGGAGTGTCTCGTCTTATGCCGCTTACAGCGAATCTCTGCCTGAATCAAGGTCTTTGTCTCCGCCCATACCTTCTCCCTTGAAGTTGAGAGTCCCTCAATGGTTCTGCAGCACCTTTCCTTCCAGATGGACCACAGCGTTACCTTTCTGATCATTCCGAACCACAATTTTTCTGTGTCTTGTGGAATAGAGCTGGGACGTTAGTCCATAGAAGGAGATGGATGGGGTGTTCTGGAAGAGGAGTCGAGAAGAGGGAATCCCAGAGATCCGAGGCCCTCGGCCAATATTACATCGCCTCTCTACAGCTTATCAGGCAATGTAGCATATCTTCTGGTTCATTTTCTGAACATACCGCACATAAATCTGAGTTGTTAGGGTCGGTCTTACTTCATCTGATATGCATCCACTGGTTAACCGGTAGAGCCACCTATGAGGTGAGCCATTGGAGGCTTCTGATTTTTACCGGTCGGATTGACTTGAATTTTTCCCATGGTATTTGCGGGATCTGACTAGCATCCTGACCTGTTCTTGATCGTTGGGTCGGGAATCGGGATCCTTTGTTTTGAGGACTAAGTTGTGTCCCAGATTGACTGTGTATTCCTGGATGGGAACATTCGTTTTGAGATTTCTGCTTCTGTCTGGTGTCCAAGCCCACTCTGCTGGATCAAATTCCAAGTCTTGAATCATCGTATCTATTCTGAAGATTGTTTTTGGCCATGAACCCAACACTCTTACTTTTCGGAGTACAAAAGGGTTTAGGACTGTTCTTTCCACCTCCTTATTCAGGATAGATGGGAGACGTTGCGTGGAGGGGGTAATTGGGAAAGAGGTAAACACCGCCAGGGTATCTGACCCTTGCTGTTTATGTGTCGCATACCGTAACGGTACAGACCAGAACAAGAACCGACCTCTCTCACATAGTACAGGATAGCGCAGCGGAAGGCTAATATACCAATGATCCGATCAGTCAATGTCGCAATGCAGACCAAACATACGTCATCATCATCGTATGGTGTGAAGGGACCTGGCGCTCACATAGGAAGAATGCGCCGGTCCCAAACATACACAGACGAAGAGGAGGGGGATTCGACGAAGAAGAGGGGAAGATGGGAATGTCGTCAACACCAAGTCTTCGTTACAGGTACGAAATAATCCCTCCTCCAATGTCTCACTCCGAATGTCGAGTCTGAATCCAAGTGTCGTCAAGTCCCAAATTCACCAATCTCTCTCTCTCTCTCTCTCTCTCTCTCTCTCTCTCTCTCTCTCTCTCTCTCTCTCTCTCTCT